TGAACCACACCAACTCAACGATGCAGTGCTAAAACTCGCCGGAAACACACAAGAATGTTTAAAATACAACTCTTATTTAAGACTCCAATTCATACAATCTACTAATATTCAAGGACTTACATACCCAAGGGTCAGTACTCTCTCCTCTGTCATTCAACATCAACGCGGAACCTAGTTACAACCCAAAGAAGACTGAAACAGTCCCTGCGGCAGATGGAGACGGACCTAGAGAAGACAAAACTCGAGAACAAGAGGAAGGAAAGGAATCTGCGATATGATTTTCGATGAAATCACTCCTTAATGTCATAAAACTAATTTTTCAAATCCGCAAATTGGCGGCTTTCTACGGAATGGCTAACTATTATCAGACCAACGATGACCTACGGATCTGGACTTTCATATGCAGAAGCTACAAGTTGTTCAAAACTGGGTAGTCCCTATGGCCCTCGACGTACTGAACTCTGAACGTGCATGATATCGCCGTGACAGTCGAACTCGGCGTACAAGCTCTAACAGGAAAAGTATCGATCGACATTGATCTATTAACCCCGCCGTCTTGATAGCTGAAAGCACGCTGATTCTATTCACTATTTATTCTGGTGTCATCTTTCCGGTCCGCATCAACGGCCTATCAGTTAACCCACGTAATAAGCGGAGGTATTGTGCGGAGTTCAACTGGAGAGAATCCTATTGTTATGTTTTTAAGGATCATGTCTAATTATATAAGACGTCGTCGTCTCTTGGGCGAAACCTGATCTGTTAGTGGTAGTATGTCAGTAAAAATTTATAAAAGAAAGAAAATTACTCAGTGTTTGTGCCTGTTTCTGTCCATTTTTGAAATCGATCAACAAAAGTACTTGTAGATGCTGTTGTGTAACCATTAGTTGGTTACTTCTCTTCAAATAAGTATTTATACTTTGGAAGTAATAAATAATCTTCTGTAAGAACTCTGTAAACAGCTACTTTTATCAAACAACATCTAGTACTTTTTCAACAATATCTATACTTCTAAAATCAGTGTGTGGTCTTTGGCAAGATATCAGGTCTTTGGATTTTCTTATAGCATCGTCGTTAATATAAGAAAACCTTGTAGTCAATTAGATCGTACTTAAGGTTTGGTCAGGAATACTATGATCAGTTAACACGTATATTTCAAAAGCGAATTTCCTAAAAAATTGCTGTGCTGTTAATGATCATCATCATCATTAAAAATCATTGCTTTTTGTTGTAGAAAGAATTTCATCAAAATATTAACATCATCTGTGTTTAAGATCTGGTTAATTCCAGATGAAGCAAAAACCATCTTGAGCTTGTAAGCCTGAAAATGTTAAGTTGTGAACCACCAAATAGATAAAGACGAAGATAAAGAAATGTCAAGGAATATTGAAAAAAATAAATTGTGTGTAACAATAAAATGAATGATTGTTGAATGTAATTGAAATAAATCGTATTTGTGATTGATGTAGAAAATGTTGAAAATGTAAATTGTCAGTAACATTTTTGACCTCCGACTTTTGTCGTTTTGGCTGGAGTCCGCAACCTTATTTTAGCAATTTCGAGCGCACAAGTTGGATAAGGGCGCCTTAAAATGCCGTTGGGAGAACGAAAATCGTCCAAAATAAATATTCGCTTGTTTACCTTACTTTTCCGACTGCACTGTAGGTAACTTCCCCCTCTCTCTCACTCTGTACAGAAAAGGACCCTTAGGAAAATGTTTGTGGAGTAGATGAAGGCAGTAGGTGCGGTTTTTAAGAGCTGTTTTTCTTTAATTAACATCAGGTAAATTGGCGTGGTAGAAAAATATTGTTATTGTATATACGGACACTTCCGCACCTTTTTTTCAACTATGCGACAATGGAAACGCGAAAATCTATAATAACAACAGCGCTGCTTTGTGTTGACAAATACTTCAACACGGATGGACATGTGTTGTACACAAAACAGTCATCGACCAACGTCGTTTCGACGTTGGTTATGCGGACGTATAAATAAACGAGAGAGTTGATTGGTGGCTGCCGCTTTATGATATGAATTTGACGGGTACGCTTCCTGGTTATTTTAAAATTTCATTACATTTCATGTAATTAATACTCCCTCTTTATAACCGCCCATTGACAGGTTTGATACTATATCACAATAATCAATAAAATTTAACGCGAATTGAGCGCGCATATATATAGAGGGTGTTAATGAATTAACTTAAATTAAAAGAACCAAAAGCTAGTGTGGATATAATTAAAAATAGATGAGCAATGAAACTTTTCCACTACCAATCATTACAGAAGACTACTACTACTGTGAGTTTAATCTTCGTTGTACGATCTGCCAGGTCCAATTAGTCATGGAGAAGCTATAGAGCTATCTAACCATCAGCATAGTAGCCGCCGACCGAGAGCGGGCAGGTAGAGGTCGTTAGGTGCTTTACGAAAGCTCCGGACGGTGCAGTCGACGCAAAAACTGGTCAAACTAATTACACTAATTAATTTGGCACGACGGAGGATAGACTCTGATGGAGTTAGAACTCAAACTCTGCTATATTCGCTCTCCCGCAGGGGCCAACAAACTTTGAATAGCCTATTTTTTTCGCTAAAATCATCCATTTATCATAATCGAAAAGTACCTTATGAAAAAAGTGCGCTTAGAAAACTGTGGGTGTAATGCGAGCCTTCCACCTATGTAACAGAAGCACTTAGACAGCGCCAATATTTCACGCCTGGCTGTAGAGGGCGATTTGTTAACAGATCCAGAGCGCTCTCATACAAATAACGTATTGTTCCCATTCCGTACCAAGCGAAACCGTGGATTTTTCCGCCCCCGGGACGAACCGAATGGTTACCAGAGGGAGGATAGGCGCCTTTCTTCCCGAGGGCCCCCTTTGACGAGATAAAAATAATGATGTCATATCGCCGGCGGAGTTATTAAGCGTGGCAATTTCACAATTGCCACTTCACGCCTCTGCCTCCATCCGTTTCGCATAGTCATTTATCCCTGAAAAATGAACAGAAGTCGTAAAGTTATTCACACAGGATTAAATCGTTATCCCATCAAGAATTATTTCTTAAATCAAAAGTATACTAAAAAACTTCGATATAACGGATTAAAACATTCAGGTTTAGCCGTCTTGAGGGACGTGCGGCTAAATCCGAATGTTTCTAGTTCTAGGTCTAGTGTTAGTTCTAGTTTTACACTAGCACTATCACTAGAACTAACACAAGACCTAGAACTAGAATCATTCGGGTTTAGCCGTCTTGAGAGACGTGCGGCTAAATCCGAATGTTTCTAGTTCTAGGTCTAGTGTTAGTTCTAGTTTTACACTAGCACTATCAGCAGAACTAACACAAGACCTAGAACTAGAATCATTCGGGTTTAGCCGTCTTGGGAGACGTGCGGCTAAACCCAAATGCTTCTAGTTCCTGGTCTAGTGTTAGTTCTAGTTTTACACTAGCACTATCAGCAGAACTAACACAAGACCTAGAACTAGAATCATTCGGGTTTAGCCGTCTTGGGAGACGTGAGGCTAAACCCAAATGCTTCTAGTTCCTGGTCTAGTGTTAGTTCTAGTTAATCTATGTTGTATATTCTTATTGAACTAAAACTAGAACTAACACTAGACCTAGAACTAGAAAATATCGGGTTTAGCCGTGCGTCTTAGACGTGCGGCTAAACCCATAACTTTCTAGTTCTAGGTCTAGTGTTAGTTCTAGTTTTACACTAGCACTATCAGCAGAACTAACACAAGACTTAGAACTAGAATCATTCAGGTTTAGCCGTCTTCGGAGACGTGCGGCTAAACCCAAATGCTTCTAGTTCCTGGTCTAGTGTTAGTTCTAGTTTTACACTAGCACTATCAGCAGAACTAACACAAGACCTAGAACTAGAATCATTCGGGTTTAGCCGTCTTGAGAGACGTGCGGCTAAATCCGAATGTTTCTAGTTCTAGGTCTAGTGTTAGTTCTAGTTTTACACTAGCACTATCAGCAGAACTAACACAAGACCTAGAACTAGAATCATTCGGGTTTAGCCGTCTTGAGAGACGTGCGGCTAAACCCAAATGCTTCTAGTTCCTGGTCTAGTGTTAGTTCTAGTTTTACACTAGCACTATCACCAGAACTAAAACAAGACCTAGAACTAGAAACATTCAGGTTTAGCCGCACGGAGAGAAAGACGGCTAAACCCAAATGCTTCTAGTTCCCGATCTAGTGTTAGTTCTAGTTTTACACTAGCACTATCACAAGAATTAACACAAGACCTAGAACTAGAATCAATCGGGTTTAGCCATACTAAGAGACGTCCGGCTAAACTCGAATATTTCTAGGCGGCCAGCAACATCCCTAACTTTCCTAGTGTAATTTTAGCTTAAAACTGACCAATAGCAACCCTTCTTTTTGGCGCTTCAATTTGAAAACACTCCTCCGAATTAAAAAATAGTGTATAATAAAAGTTGGACACACATGATACAAAAAGACCGCATAATTATAAAGGAAAAGGGTCGGATGATGCCGCAATCATTTACAGCGGCACAAATTGGCCCTTTCTTAGAACGAAACTTTTCTTTTTCGGCTACCGTTCCACGAAATAAGTCGAGAGAAAGTAGGACGTTGAAAATCCGCAAAAAGACTTCTTCCACTCACAGGAGATTATATATAGTATAAGAATCGCAAGAATTTTTTAAAAAATGTCGGTATTCTATGTATTTCCTGCGTGAAAACATAATTTTGAATTAAAAATGTTTGTTAATAGAAAGGTACGCGACTCCCCCTTTTCGGATCAAAGGGATACCACAAACTCGGGAGCGGCATCCCGTATATCCTACAGGAGCTAAAATCATAAGCAGATTGTTACCGCTCCCGCATATAATTACCCTTTCGCGAAGTGCGTTCGTATGCCGCACCGGGAGCTGATGGCGCCACCGATCGGGTATTTTCTCCTGCTGCCAGACAAGGATGAAGACTAGATCCGAGCAGTTCAACTCTGTCGGACTCCGTCCAGGCTTCAGTGCTTCAGTCGTCGTCGTGCTGCCGAACTGTTTATGTCGATGAAACGTTCTTCTGAAGGACCAAATACGCGATACCCCGCGAATCCTCGACCGCCTTTTTACCGTTTTTTTTTGTTGTTTTCAATATTTTTTTGCAACACCATCGAGTGATGTCCATTTTTGTGTTTACTGTTTACCCATCTAGTGCCTGAAACCATTTCGTGTTTTGTAGCGTGTACTTTTTTAAGTGCAAAAAAAATTTTGGATTTTGTGCACCCCTCGAAAAAAGGATATACATATTTAACCAAAAATTTATACGTGCTCTGAATGTGTTAATTGTTGTGATAAGGATTTTATTTAACTTCATACAATAACGTAAGTAGAAAATAAAAAAGGATTTTTAGTAACTGCCAGAAAATTGAAATCGGGTTATTCAAAACAAATTCTAAATGAGATCGTTTCCTATTCGAATATATCCTTTATATACGCTATAGTAGGCATCGAATAAAAGGTTTATTTACGAGCTACTTTAGAGGGATTGTTTGACAAGATCCATTATCGTCAATTCTATTCGGATAAACAAATAGACGAATCCGATTTAAATGGGTCGATTACAAAACTAGATATTTTCCAGTACAATCTGAGAAAATAAAAACGTTACAATTCTATTCTTTGCACCTGAAAATGCATCATTTCGAAATCGGCACAAACAAAATCAATTTTTAACACATAATTACGTGTTATGTATCTCGAGAACTAGTTAGATCGAACGAAAACTTAGTAGATAAAAATTGCTCATGTTTAATCTACACATTATCCATAAATTATTTCAACTTAACTTTGATCATATTTTAGATATAACCATAAAAAATGACTAATTATGAAAAATTTGCAATATCGCTTATTACAATGTGGTATAACTCAAAAATTAAAAACGATGAGGAAAAAGTTTGTACATAAAAATTGTCCATAATGAATCAGAAAAGCTTCGTCCATAATCAATTTTAATCTAGTTGTGGAAGTTTGGTTTGAACAAAACAACCCTTAATTCACGAAATGGAAGATATTAATTATTTAATTTGATTAGAAATTTTAAATAAAAGGTGATGAATAAAATGTTATTAAGAAAAGTTGTTTATAATGGATCATAAAAATGAGATGCATAAATAATTTTAATAGAAGTTTGTTTATATTTTAGTTGGAACTAAAGAAATTGCTATAAATTTGGTTGTAATAAACATGATGGAAAAAAAGTTTGTTTATAAAAATGTTCATAATGATTCTAAAAGACATCGTCCATAAAGAATTTTCATCTAGATATGAAAGTTTGTTAAATATGAACGAGAGAATCCTTAAATGTCGAAATGGACGTTTTTAGTTAATCAAATTGATTTGGAATCGTAAATAAAACTTGATGTATAAAATGTAATTAATAAAATTTGTTTATAATGAATCTTAAAAACAAGATCCATAAACAATTTCAACCTAACTTTGATTATGCTTTAGTTAGAACTAAAGAAATTACTAAAGATGAAAAATTTGTAACGTTGGTGGTTATTAGAATCTGCTATAACTTATAAAGTAAACGCGATAGAGAAAAAGTTTGTTTATAAAAATTGTTGATAATGACTCTAGAAAACATAGTTCATAAATAATTATAATCTAATTGTGCAACTTTGTTAGTTGTGAATGAAACAATCCATAATTGTCAAAATGGACGCTTTTAGTTACTCAAATGTGTTTTAAAATCTAAATAAAGCTAGATAAACAAAATGTTATTGATAAAAATTGTTTATAATGAATCATATAAACAAGATCCAAAAATAATTTCGATCTAACTTTAATCATGTTTTAGTTAGAACTGAGAAATCGGTAAATATAAATATATTTTGTAACTTTGGTTATTATAATGTGTCATAACTATAAAAGTAAATGCGATGGAGAAAATGTTTATTTATAAAAATTGTTCGTAATGAATCTAAAAATCATCGACCATAAACAATTTTCATCTAGATATGAAAGTATGTTAGATGTGAACGAGAGAATCCTTAAATCTCGAAATCGACGTTTATAGTTACTTAAATTGATGGGAAATTCTAAATAAAGTTTGATGAATAAAATGGAATTAATAAAAATTGTTGATAATGAATCATAAAAACAAAATCCATAAATAATTTCGATCTAACTTTAATTATGTTTTAGTTAGAACTGAAGAAATTCGTAAATATAAAAATTTTGTAACTTTGGTTATTAGAATGTGTCATAATTGTAAAAGTAAATGCGATGGAGAAAAAGTTTATTTATAAAAATTGTTAATAATGAATCTAAAAAACATCGTCCATAAAGAATTTTAATCTAGATATGAAAGTTTGTTAGAAATGAACGAGCCAATCCTTAAATCTGAACATCGACGTTTTTAGTTACTTAAATTGATGGGAAATTCTAAATAAAGCTTGATGAATAAATTGTAATTAATAAAATTTGTTCATAATGAATTTTAAAAACAAGATCCATAAACAATCCTTAAATCTTGAAATTGACGTTTTCAGTTACGTAAATTGATGGGAAATTCTAAATAAAGTTTGATGGATACAATGTAATTAATAAAAATTGTTTATAATGAATCATAAAAACAAAATCCATAAATAATTTCGATGTAACTTTAATGATGTTTTAGTTAGAACTGAAGAAATCGGTAAAAATTAAAATTTTGTAACTTTGGTTCTTAGAATGTGTCATAATTGAAAAACTTAATTGATAATGAATCTAAAAGACATCGTCCATAATGAATTTTAATCTAGATATGAAAGTTTCTTAGAAATGAACGAGCCAATTTTTAAATCTTGAAATCGACGTTTTTAGTTACTTAAATTGAGGGGAAATTCTAAATAAAGCTTGATCAATAAAATGTAATCAATAAAAATTGTTTATAATGAATCATAAAAACAAGATCCATAAACAATTTCAACCTACCTTTGATTTTGCTTCAGTTAGAATCAAAGAAATCATTAATTATGAAAAATTTATACTTTGGTTGATGAAATATGTTATAACTCAAAAAGTAAACGCGATGGAGAAACAGTTTATTTATAAAAATTGTTCATAATAAATCTGAAAAACATCGCCCATAAACAATTTTAATTTAATTGTGGAAATTTGTTAATTATAAACGAACCAAGCCTTAATTCTCGAAATGAACGTTTTTAGTTACTCAAATTGATTGTAAATACTAAATAAAACTTGGCGAATAAAATGTAGTTAATAAAAATTGTTTATAATGCTTCATAAAAATAAGATCCATAAACAATGTCAACCTTACTTTGATTTTGCTTTAGTTAGAATCATAGAAATCACTAATTATGAAACATTTAAAACTTTGGTTGATAGAATATGTTATAACTCAAAGAGAAAACGCGATGGAGAAAAAGTTTATTTATAAAAATTGTTCATAATAAATCTGAAAAACATCGCAAATAAACAATTTTAATGTAATTATGGAAGTTTGTTAGTTGTAAACGAAAGAAACCTTAATTCTCGAATGAACGTTTTTAATTAATCAAAGTGATTGTATATACTAAATATAATAAAACTTGATGAATACAGTGTAATTAATAAAAATTGTTTATAATGAATCATAAAAACAGGATCCATAAACAATTTCAACCTAACTTTGATTTTGCTTTAGTTAGAATCAAAGAAATCGCTAATTATGAAAAATTTATACTTTGGTTGATAGAATATGTTATATCTCAAAAAGTAAACGCGATGGTGAAAAAGTTTATTTATAAAAAATGTTCATGATGAATCTGAAAAACATCGCCCATAAACAATTTTAATCTAGTTATAGAAGTTTGTTAGTTATAAACGAAATAATCCTTAATTCTCGAAATGAACGTTTTTAGTTACTCAAATTGATTATTTTTGATATAACGTTAAAATTAAACATAACGGTGAAAATCTTTTTTAGTTTTCTTAACATTTCCTTAATAAATTAAGATTGAAATTGATATGGTATAAAAATCGAAATAAATAACCATTAAGAAACCGTTTCAACAAGAAATATAGTTAGAAAACAGTAAATATTACCACACCAGTAGAAGTATTATAAATTGCCCTTATAAATAACACGTATTGTAGACACCTGGTAACTGTCATTACCTATTGTGGTACTAAATCACCGCTTGAAATGATCTTCAATGTAACTGATTCCTATAGGAGCCCCATCGAACATATGGTTATACACGTAGCTTCCCTGTGGTTACGTTACAACATATTAATCAAAAAGCCAGCACTGTTCGAAATCTAATTCGTCGTTTCTAATGACTTATTATTGGGCTACATTGGAAAAGTTGCGAAATTATATCAAAACCGATACTTTACTCAAATTGGTTGTTAGAGAAAATTGATCCGGGTTTTGATATTAATGGATATTGTTGTTGCTGCGTAACAATCTGAGCAGCATCATTATCCCTCTTAATAATAACGTGTTATTATTTTCTTTTGAACGGGTTTTATTAATAACGATTTCAAAGAAACGGAACGTTTAAAAAAAAGTTTTTCAGTTGAAATGAGGCATTAAACTGTAAAATAAAATAAAAAGTGTGTCGTAATACATCTGGTGTCCGTATGTTTTGTGTTTAAATAAAATTCGTAACTGTTCGTCTTAATAAATGTACGTTGAATTTTTTTTTAAATTTACATCGCAATTTTAAACATTCATTAATAATCCGCCTACAACGATTTTTTGTTATGCTAAGCAGTGTTATGAATAAAAAATAGCTATTTAATTAATTTAATCTAATTAATTTCGTTCACAACAATCATTAATTTACTTTTACATCTGGGTATTTATAAAGATCATTAATTTTATTACGTGATTAAAAAAAACTTTTTTAATCAACTTTGATTTGAACATTGATGTTTTAGCAGCGGGGGTTAATTTAGTTTTAGTTTGACATATCAGGGGCGCAACCACATATCGGTCTTGGATGGCCGATCATCCACTCTTCCGGTAAATTTAGTAACCGGGGAATTAACGGCTAAATAAATTTGCTTCCGTTTTGTAATTTCTTTTTATTAGATTAAAACATATTAATACGTAAATTGCATACATTAGTTAAGCAAATTATTCGTTATTTTTCATTTAAAGCACTCGCTTCTCAATCTAATTTTCCCACACCAAAAAAACTGGCTATAGCAAGTCATGAGAGGTGGTGAATGCGCAGGATGAACGACGTCTTGCTTGAGCGCACATTGGAAATAGGCGACATTAAACAAAAAAAGACCAGGACAGATTGTCGTCTTTTACCTGGAAATCTTTTTGGAGTCGAGTTCTTTTCAATCATAATCCCAGATAAGGAAAAAGAAAATTTTTA